ATATATAAGCTGGGCAGTGGCGCACATCTGTCGTCCCAGATATTCACTACCCAGGAGGCTGACGTGAGAGATCCCTTGAACCTGGGAGGCAGAGGTGGCAGTGTGCTGAGATTGCACCAATACGCTCCAGCCTTGGTCTCAAACAAAAAGAGAGGGGAGAGGTTGGCAGGGAAGGGGCTGGGGAGCAGGCCTGCTGAAGCCAGTTTCTCTCTCTTCCCCATTATCACCCAGACAGATGCCTGTGTGTCCTTCTCTTCCCCAGCCATCACAAATGGGACAGCTGGTTGGAGGCAAGGTGACCTACTAAGTCGCCAGCTCCTGAACTGAAATTGCATTGCTTAGTGCCTGGCAGTTGCTAACAACAGAGTCTCCCGTGTGTAGACGGCAATAAGGGTGGGCCCTGGGCTGCAGCAAGGTGCAGCTGGCCAGGTGGATGGGTGCAGAGAGCAGCGGGGCGATAGAGAAAATCCTCCAGCTTGGTCCCCAGATGCTCCAGCAGTGCCCATATTCCATACACAAATAGGCTGCAGGCCTACAGGTTATAGTTTACTAATCCTAGCTTTAGTGGACAATAAAAGGTAAAATAATTTGCTTTGGATGTGATGGTTCTAAACTATACCCATAAATTCTTTCACATTCCTCTCTTTAAAAAGGAAGGGAACTTAATTCCTCTCCCCTTGAGCATGAGGTAGACTTAGTGACTCACTTCTAGTGACTAGAATGTGGTGAAAGTAACGGTGTGTGGCTCCTGAGATTAGGTCTTCACCTTCTCTCAGATCGCTCACTCTGGGAGTCACCTGTCATGTCATGATGATGCTCAAGCAGCCTTGCGGAAAAGCTTCACGAGGAGAGGAACTGAGACCTCCTGCCAACAGCCATGAGAGGGGCTGTCGTAAAAGCAGATCCTCTAGCCCCAGTCAAGCCTTCAGATGACAGCAGCTCCTGTGGACATCTTGACCACAACTTCATGAGACCCTAAGCCAGAAACACTCATCTAAACTTCCCCAGACCTCTGACTCTCAGAAACTGTGAGATAATAAATGTTTGTTATTCTAAACTGTTATGCCTGGGGGTAACTTGTTATACAGCAATAAATAAGACAGTGGATTTTTACAAAGGATACTTATAAAAACCAGTCTTAACTTATGGTGCCATCGGGTGTCCATGTCCAGCTGCCTCCTTGAATATGCTCTTGGATGTCTCACACACATATCAAAGCAGTATGATGCCCTCCAAACTTGCCCCTTTAGAGTCTGTCCATCGTGGGCCTCCCTTAATTCTACACCTCAGGAATGACTCCATCATAAGCTAGAAGATCTAAAAGTCATTTTTCTTCTTTGAGACGAAGTCTTGCTCTGTCGCCCATGCTGGAGTGCAGTGGCACAATCTTGGCTCACTACAAACGTTGCCTCCTGGGTTCAAGCAATTCTCCTTCCTGAGCCTCCTGAGTAGCTGGGATTACAGGCACAAGCCACCATACCCAGCTAATTTTTGTATTTTTAGTACAAATGGGGTTTCACTATGGTGGCCAGGCTGGTCTTGAACTCCTGACCTCAGGTGAACTGCCTGCCTCAGCCTCCCAAAGTGCTGGGATTACAGGCATGAGCCACTACGCCCGGCCAGAATTCACTTCTTTTGCTTTGTTTCCTCATTCTGCCCACCCATCATGCAGATGGAATGCGCACGCGCGCACACACACACACACACACACACACACAGGCACACACACACATGTACACACACACACATGCACACACACACACATTCATCCACACATCCAGTTATCGCCTAGGTCTTAGAGGGCATGCATTTCTCACCACTCACGGGTGTCACACCTTGCCTCAGTTGTGCAAAAGCCTCCTAACTGGTCTCCTGGCTTCCCACTCACCCCCAACCAATCCACCTTCTACTCAATAGTGAGAGTCACTTTCCAATGAGAACTAGATCATGCCACCACCTGGCACAAATCCCCCTGAGACCTGCCTTTGAAATGAGAATGGGATCCCAGCTTTCCACAGAGTCAGTGAGCCCCTGGCACAGTCTGCCCTTGGCCAGCCCATCCCGCCTCACCCCTCCTCTCGCCTCCTCAATGCTTGTCTACCCCATCCTCTTCCCTCTCAGGGCTCAGCACACACTGCTCCTTCCGCCAAAACATTCCTCCCTCATTCACGTGGCTTCCTCCCCACACCCCTGGAGCCCACCTTAAATGTTTTCTCCTGTCTGGCCTCCCCTGCCTCCTCATCTAAAGTAAAACCTCCTGTTATTTTAGTTCTCAGTCTACTGTTTATTGACATCACAACACTTAATGCAAGTTAAAGTATTTGATTAACCATATTTTATCTGTCCATGGACCAAGCCATAGAGGAGCCATAGTTCACTGCCAAGAGCAGCACCTGAGAGTCCCCATCCTTGGGTTCACGGCCTGGCCCCATGAGTTCAGCTGAGCCGCTCATACCGTAGCATACAATGGGAAGTAGAAGGGCCTCTCCATCACCTTGTCCAAGCCCCTGCAGAGAGAGGTGTGCCATGGCCATCAAATGAGGAGGCTTTGAGTAATCCAAGGGCTACAGGTGCCAGTCCCCTGCTTCTGAACCTCAACACAGAAACCACGTGAACTGAGCCAGTGTACCTGGTGTGTACTTCTGTTTTTCAAATCTTAGGAACCCTAAGTAACTAACATTTATGGGCACTCATTAAATGCAGAAAGACAGAAGCCTTGTCCATGCCTCCAAGTTCCCAATCTAGAGGGAGAGCATCAAAGGATATATCTCAGTGCAGCGTGTTCCTTAGACAACAGGGGCTGAACCAACCCCTGTGGGAGGCAAAAGAGAAAGGGTAGAGGGGAGGGGTTGGGCGAGTCCCGAGGGGACCTTGAAGAAGGGGAGGGGTTCACAGTGGAGGTTTGGCTGAATAACTTTCCACACCCCTCCCCCCCAGCCCAGTTATATCAGAACCACTTTACAGAGCCATCTGCTTTACAGAGCCAGAGGGCATGACTGGAAAAACATGTCCCCTGGCACCAGGGCACTAGTCTCCACTCAGAAGTCATATGCCAGGGGCAGGGGGGTTTCTGGTCACCTAGTCCTCTCCCTTCTTGTCAGGTGACACTGGGCTGCTGGGTAGAAGGTGCGGAGTAGGTGCAGGGTTAACCCCTCAGAGCATCCTAAGAAGGACCTGGGGGAGTCTGAGAGGAGACTCGCCTCATCACGCAGGTGCCAAGCCATTCTTGGCACTCCTGTGAGGCTGGGTGGGGGACAGGAACAAGGGATAGGGCAGGAGAGGAGGACGGAGCTGATGCCAGAGGTCACCTGAACCAGCCGTGCAGAGAGAGGCTCTCTCCTCCCCACCTGCCCCTCAGAACCCAGGGACCCCTCCGCCCCAGGCTGCCTAGCTCCAAGCCCCCCAGCAGCCTTCCAGAGTGTCATCAATGCGAGGAAAACCTCTATCATCAGCCTTGCTAGATCCAAGAGAACAACTGTAACCCATGCGAATTTCTGGGAACACCAAGATACAATAGGCAACAATATGACAACCAAGGAGCTTTGGTGACTCACAAATTCCATTCTGTCCTCACATAAGGCCACTACCCAGGCACCAGGGTTGGAATGATACAGTGAGTTTTCTGATAGAAATGGGGGTAAATAGGAGCTAAATAGTCAAGTAAGGTCAGTATAGTCAGCCAAATCCTGAATTAAATGACATTTATGCCACATGATCAGAGTTTCCCTGGGGATACCTAATTTTATTGTTATTTGTTAAGCTAGAAAATCCAGTCAGGGGTGGCAGAGGGTCCAGACAGGATTAAGAGGGCAGTTCCTGGGCCGAGCTGCCAAGGCTGGAGCCCTGCCTATCCACTCTCTGGGCGCGCGTCCCTGAGAACACGGCCTAGCCTCTCTGAGCCTGGTGTTCTCATGTGGACGTGATGGAACCAACAGCACTGAGCTTACAGGCTGGCGAGAACATTAGGTAGGATCGGTGTGTCAAGTGCTTAAGACAGTACCCGGCACCTAGTAAGGTCAAAAAAAAGTTCAATCGGGCAGGGCTCAGTGGTTCACGCCTGTAATCCCAGCACTTTGGGAGGCCAAGGCAGGCAAATCACGAGGTCAGGAGTTCGAGACCAGCCTGGCCAACATGGTGAAACCCTGTCTCTACTAAAAATACAAAAAAGTTAGATGGGTGTAGTGGCGGGCACCTGTAATCCCAGCTATTCGGGAGGCTGAGGCAGGAGAATCGCTTGAACCCGGGAGGTGGAGGTTGCAGTGAGCAGTGCCACTGCACCCCAGCCCGGGCCAGAGTGAGGCTCTGTCTCAAAAAAAA